GTGTCCGGACTTGAATTGGTTAATTCTTCAATAAGACACAGAATTTAAATGCAGCTCATTTTACTTCAGATAAATGCACTACAGTGGATGTTTTTCCAGTCTGTTGAAGCTTAAGAATACAGTGATATTCCAAACCCTTGTCTCTGCAAAGAACTAACTCCTACTGAAGAAACCTGGAAGAAAAAGGGAGGGTATAGTTAGGAATGAACTAACTAGCATTAAATAGGCGGGGAGGACAGAGGAATGATCTAAATCAACGTTTCTCACCATTTTTTTTTTTTTTTAAGTCGAGGCACCCTCTATAATTATGGAGCGTCTCGAGGTACCCTTATATATTATGGAGACACTACAGTCTAAAATTAAAAAAAAAATCCTAATAGTTTTATATAACACAGCAATCAGAGGTGATTTATTCTTCCAAAGCAAATACACATTTGCACACTGGTACTAACTAGTATTTCAGTGTTTCTCCTCTCCCTCAGTTTCTCTCCCTCACTCAATTAATGTGACCCTAGCACTGATTGAGAGGGGCAGGGGAGGTTCAAACAAGGATACTGTGCAGGTAACCGACATCCTCCTTATCAACTGATGATGTCATTGGTTGTCAGGACGCTGGTGGCTAGAAGGTCATAATGGTGCACAATGACAACCTGTGGCTTTGTGTAACTAAAAGGTAGGCTTGTTCCACCTGCTGGCTTGTATACAAGTTTTGGGAAATTTTTGCCAAGGTACCCCTGCAGAAACCTCAAGGTACCCCAGGGTTCCTGGACACCCTGGCTGAAAAACAAGTTGTATTGGCTTTAACTCTTTTTCTGCTGGTGACATAAGGCATACAGCGGCACAGAACCACTTTCCCCTGACCAGGTCAGTATGCCTTACATTTCTTGTATTCCCCCTTCTACTGTAAGCTCTTCATCACTTCAGTGACCCTGAACCTACTGCAGAATTGTTCAGCAGACTCTGCTGAACAAGAGAATAGCTGTGATCATGGCTGACAAGCCATTGATTTCAGTTGTCATCTAAAATGAATAACTGTTTCTACCCGATTTGCTCCTTTTCCCTTGCTGTACCATGCTGCAATAACGTCTTCCCTCACCCCCACTGACGTCCCCTCTCCAAGACAATCCCCCTGACAGCTGTCAGCTGTTAGGACCATTTCCTTTCCTGAATGAACATGGTGAGTGATCAGTACCAATCACTATTGTATTCATTCATAAATGAAGCATCGTAAACCGCATACAATGTTTTCAGTTTGTTAGGGCTCTTTTTCATAAGGGAAGAAAACACTGCATTTAGATGCATACGGCATATAGTTTTGTGCACATCTAAATGCAGCACTACAGTAATCAATGAGACCAGATACACGGCTAGGTCTACATATGAAAATGTGTGTGGCATTTAACCATGCACAAAAAAGTAAGACACAGATACAGATTTTATGCACTGATGACTGTAAAGTGAGTACTTTAGGCATGTATTTTATGCAGGATCTTGTAGCTCTGCCAGCAAGAATCTTTTTAATTTATGCAGAAAATACATGTCTAAACCAGAGCCATCTGTAGTATTGATTGGACCCTGGGCAAACAATTTTTTGCCCCCCCCAGGCAATTTCGTTCTCCCCCCCCCCCCCCAATATTTACCTGAGCCACCTCTCGATCCAGCACTGTGCACACAAGCATTGGCTCTCCCGGATCTCTCTCTCCTTAGTGGCTGAGACACAGCCAGTGGGGAGCAGGGATGAGCCTTGGCTTTGTGTCTTATGGATGCATAGAGCGCAGCTCGGGAGGAAGCATTCATGAGTGCCCCCATAGCAAATGGCTTGCTATTGGGAGCACTGGTCAAGGGGGAGGAGCCAGGAGTAGGGGACCCGAGAAGACGAGGATCAGGGCTGCCCTGTGCAAAACCACTTCACAGAGTAGGTAAGTATGTTTGTTATTACAAGTTTTTTTTTTTTTTTTTTATCACTTTAATAATAATGTTAACATAATGAACTTGCTAAACTCCCTTATTGGACCAAGCTCACTGTCTGGTTGCTAGAGGTTACTGCACATCCTTACCACTCACTGATTGATAGAGGTTAGTTCACATCCTTACTGTTCACTGATTGGTTGCTAGAGGTTACTGCACATCATTACTGCTCACTGATTGGTTGCTCCTCCTTCAATCTCATTTCCCCCATCCCACGTCCTCCATTTTCATCTCCTTCTCCAGTCCCATTCTCCCATCCCATGTCCCTTTCTTCCATTCTTATCTTCCCCATCCCATATTCACATCTTCCTCCTTCCCATGTTCACCTCCTCCTTCTTCCCATGTTCTCCTCCTCCAGTCCCATGTCCTCCATCCTATGTCCTCCTCCTCCGGTCCCATCTGCTCCATCCCATGTCCTCCTCCAGTCCCATCTGCTCCTCTGGTCCCATCCCATGTCCTCCTCTGGTCCCATCCCCTTCATCCCATGTCCTCCTCTGGTCCCATCCCCTTCATCACATGTCATCCTCCTCCGGTCCCATCTCCTTCATCCCATGTCATCCTTCTCTGGTCCCATCTCCTTCATTCCATGTCATCCTCCTCCTCCAGTCTCATCTCCTTCATCCGATGTCATGGTCCTCCTCCTCCGCCGGTCCCATCTCCTGCATCCCATGTCGTCCTCCTCTGGTCCCATCTCCTCCATTCCATGTCCTCCTCCTCTGGTCCCATCTCCTCCATTCCATTTCCTCCTCCTCCTCTGGTCCCATCTCCTCCATCACATATCCTCCATTCAGTGTCATCCTCTTCCATTCTCATACAGCCCTGATCCAGCTGATATACCTCCATGTACAGTCCGTCCTCAGTCCCAAAGCTCCCCTTGCTCTCTCCGAAAACACAGCTCCGAACTATGACACTTCCATAGAACAATATTCAAATTGCCTGCTGTAGACAATCTCTCACCCTGCTGCAGTCTATAGGCTGATACCTATCCAAAGGAACCACTTGGCTGATACCTCATCAAGGGGGCCAGGTCAGGATGGCACATTACATACCCATGACTGAACAGACTGCTGCAGGGGCCACCAATTGTGGTGGGAGGAGATGTTGGAGAGGGCCAAGAGAGAGGCAGAGTGGTGGTGGATGGAGCGGCAGCTGGATGAGAGAGCAGACTGGCTGCTGCTGTACCCGCAGCTCTGATTTTCCTGACTCAGTCGGGACACAGCCATGTATGGAGAGCTTACTGAAATTTGTGGCAACTATACTGGCAACATACGTCTCAAAAGTAAGATACCAGGGGTCTGTTTAGATGGTCTACGGCGATGGGGAGAGGGGATGAAGTAGCTGTATGAATACAGCCACAGGTCCTAATTTGATAGCAACTCAGAATGCACACTGTCTGCAGTAGTGGCTACGCACCTTCACCTGCAAGCCCGTCAAATTAGGATCTGCAGCTGTGTTCGCTGAGCCACTGTGTCCCCATTGAGTAACAGAGGCTGTCTGCACGCAGCTCCTGCCATATAAATAATCTGCCCATCCTGCTGAACAGGTCATACCCACATGGAAGAAAAATATATATTGAAATATATTTTAAAAATATTCTTCCCAAGTATATTGCCATATATTTGAAGTGCTACAATTTTGGCCATATTGAAATCTACTGTATTTTGCAATATATTGCATAAATACATAATATATATACTGGATGTTGAAATGCATTTTTATTCCAACATATATGAAAAATATTTTTAAAAATGCATTTCAAATATACTGTATGTCTTTAAAAATACAAATCTACATTTTTGGAATGCATTTACAAATATATGTTAAAAAAAAATCTGAAGAATATATTTTAAATATATTTTTTGTAAATATATTCTTCAGATTTTTTTTTAACCTATAAAAAAAATTAATTTTAACATTTTTACATACATTTTATAAATGCATTCCAAAAATGTAGATTTGTATTTTTAAAGACATACTGTATATTTGAAATGTATTTAAAAAAATATTTTTCTTATTTTATAATAAAAATGTATTTCAACATGCAATATATATATTTATTGAAATATATTGAATATGGCCAAAATTATAGCATTTCAAATATATGGCAATATATTTGGGAAGAATATTTTTAAAATAGACTTCAAATATATTTTTCTTTGATATGAGTGCTCCTGTGTGAATGTGCCTCAAAACATTTTCACACACACCGTGCATTTCTGCACCCAGTAGTCACAGGTGTTTGCACACAGCCACAGACAGCAGCCTGTACCAATCAATGACAGACACTGCAGCTGTACGCATGTAATCTCACACCCTGGATTCAAAATGGGCTGCTCATAAATCCCTATATGCATGTAACTGCTCAAGTGTGCATACAGCCATAGTGTTGGTCATTAATTTGTATGGGCTTCTGCCAGAGCTGTTGGCAAACACCTTTGACTCTTTGCACAGAAATATGCTTCTTCTTGACACTGTAGAGCCCTTTGTGGTCATGTGAATGGCACCTAAAGCACAACAGAAATGTGCATTGCTGCTCATTGTAACACACTGCATTGCAATAAAATTTATGCCTGCATCATTTTATCACAACGTACACCAATGCAGCGTACACATGGTACTCTCATTTAACCACTTGCCTACAGGGCACTTATACCCCCTTCCTGCCCAGGCCAATTTCCAGCTTTCAGCGCTGTCGCACTTTGAAAATTGTGCGGTCATACAACATTGTACCCATATGAAATTTGTATTTTTTTTTGTGACAGAGCTTTATTTTGGTGGTATTTAATCACCTCTGGGTTTTTTATTTTTTCTTAAACCAAAAATCACTAAAAATTTTGAAAAAAAAATGTTTTTTCTTAGTTTTTGTTATAAAATTTTGTAAATAAGTGATTTTTCTCCTTCACTGATGTGCGCTAATGAGGCTGCACTGATAGACACTGATAGGCAGCAGTGATGGGCATTGTCAGGCATCACTGATGGGCACTGAAAGGCAGAACTGATACATGGCACTGATATTTGGCACCGATAGGCAGCACTGATTGACACTGTTAGGCAGCACTGACTGGCACTGATAGGTGGCACTGATTGGCAGCACTGATAGGTGGCACTGACTGGCACTGATGGGTGACACTGAAAGGCAGCTCAGATGGGCACTGATATGTGGCATTGATGTGCACTGGTAGGCACTGATATGTGGCACTGATGGGCACTGGTATGAGGCACTGATGAGCACTGACAGGTGGCACTGCTTGGGCTACACTGATCATCAGGGCACACTGATCATCAGTGCCCTGATGATCAGTGTACATGTCCCCTCCGATTACTGGCTCTCCTCTCGAGCTGTCAGCGTGACAGCTCAAGAGGAGAGAAATGCCGATAACCAGCATTTCCCTGTTTACATGTGATCAGCTGTGATTGGACACAGCTGATCACATGACCGAGCCGACATCTTCTGATTGGTAATCCGCTGTGTCCAAGGGACACAGCGCACCACCGATCGCCGCGCTGCACGCTCCCGGAGTCGCGCTTGCGCAGTGAGAATAGGAAGACATCATATGATGTCCTCCCAGAATGAGAGAACCACCTTGCGCCCCTCATATTACTATATGGCGGGCAGGAGGTGGTTAAAATATGTTCACTAATTCAACATGAATTTAGCTTTTTAAATTTAGTAGGAATTTAGCAGGAACTGTGTAAATCATGCTGTGTTTGTGTCCACTAATAATGGTTTTATTGTATTTTTAGCAAAAATATTGTTTTGATAAATATTTGTGCCTCTACTGCTGGACAAAAAAAAAAGCAGTAGTACTTTCTTTTTATTCTACTGGTCTTTTGGTTCAGAAAATGTATGGGTTGAGGCGTTTTTCAAACTCTATGCCCAGGTTCACAGCAGTGTGGTGCAGGAAACGCTGTGAATCCTGTGCATTTCCTGCACTGCAATCACATCGTGTTCATGTGATCTGGTGTGGGTGTCAACGATAAATTAATGATACCCCGAAACAGATAGCAAAACGCGATGCAATTGCCAGAAATCGCATTGCATGAGTGAGAACACCCGTGTGATGCGTGTAAGGTGCAGATTTAAAAAAGGGTCCTTTTCAGATATTTGTAAAAAAATTTTGAAAACCATTTATCATATTCCTTCCACTTCACAATTATGTGTCACTTTGTGTTGGTCTATCATACAAAATCCCAATAAAATACATTTACGTGTTTGGTTGTAACATGAAAAAATGGGGAAAATGTCAAGGGGTATGAATACTTTTTCAAGGCACTGTACATTCTTTGCTTAGAGATCACTGATATTAAAGTGGAGCTCCACCCGAAAGGGGAAATTCCGCTTTAAGGACTGCTCCCCTGCTCCCTATTAAGGATTGGCACCTTTTGGAAGCAGGTACATGAATTTGACAGGTACCCGCTCCCACTTCCGGTTCGATCGCCTAGGCGGTCCTCCCTCCCTATAGTCTTTTGGGACACGTGATAGGTCCCAGAAGACTACAGGACCATTCAGGAAGTGCAGCGCTACTCGCGCATGCGCAGTGGGTACCCGGCTGTGAAGCTGCAAGCTATCACAGCCGGGCGACCACACTGAAGATGCCGGCCTCCTGGAATACAGGACGTCCAGTGAAACGAGCTGTGGGGGGCACACCACGGAACCGAGGGACAGGTAAGTGGCTGTTTTTTAAAAGTCAGCAGCTACAGTTTTTGTAGCTGCTGACTTTTATTTTTTGATCGGTCGAGTGGAACTCCGCTTTAAGATACCAGTTGACTGCCTCCAACCCACAGCTTGATAGAGAGTCACAAAATTGCAAAAAGTAACTTAACAAAAATATCACATCTCTACACTTGCAATAGAAGACAATAGCCACAAATATTTTCAGTGCTGGAACAGTATGTAAGCAGCTTGGTTGAACCGCAATATGAGGGAGAACTGAAGCAGGTTGTATCTTGCAATCAACATGAGTGTATTTTTTGAGAGACAATAACCACAAATATTGTGCAATGGATGGATGTAAGAAGCTTGTTAAGTGACAATGTAAGAAGGAAAAATGATGCAGGTTTTATCTTTATCTAAACAGAGTTTTTAGATTATTTATTTTGTTTTATAATATTTATTTTTAAATAAACATTACAGTGTACTATTTGAGAAACTGGATCCGCAGTTAAGCAACTTACTAAGGACTCAAAGCAAGAGGGAGAGACGAGGCAGTTTTTATCTTGAAATAGAAACTAAACTTTTAACAAAAAATAATATTTATAGTGCTGATTCAAAAATATAAAATATTCTTCAATGTGAAAATTCATGCACAATAAATCATTCAATAAATATTGTGATCAAATAAATTCCTCAAAGCAATCAATGAATATATTTTTAACCAAAATGAATTTCAAACAAAATAAGTTAAAATATAGCAATCCAATGGTGTAATGAATAAAAAATTCACATTACTAATTTTATTCTTCCAAGTGTAGAAAAATCTATACCAATTATACTGGAAAATGCGCTTACCAGAAGTGCATGTCTATTTCATTACATGATTAAACACGCACAGATTTTATTTGATCATGATAGTTATTAAATGATCTAATTGTGAATTTTTACACTGAAGAATATTTTATAATATTGAATCAACGCTGCAATTATTATTTTGTTATATCACTTATGGGTCTATATTTATTTGCTGTTTTTTGGTAGAATCAGAAGTTATTTGTTTAATAGTTTTGCAATATAATTTTCTCACTATTTATTATATCCATCAGTGCAGAAGGATAATACATTTATTTAGAGACTAAAGTATATTATTTGAGTGACAATAGCTACAAATATTGTACAGTGGCTGGACATATATGAGCATATTGGTAAGGTCACAATGTAAGAGGGAGAGATAAGCCAGATTTTATACTGCAATAAACATTAGAGTGTATTACCTAAAAGATAACTACCAATCTTTTTGAATGATGGAACTCTGGAAGAGGCTACAACTGGCAAACTGTGAGGCACAACAAAAGATTTTAAATGCAAAGAGCAAGAAACATTGCAGGTAAAGCTGTGGGAAAAAATATTGTAGCACCTTTACAGTGTTGCAAATGTAAAAGTGCAATGCAGGATTTTCAAATGAAAAAGGTTGGCAATTCTGTGGAATATGCTCTTAAAATTTAATTTATTATAGGTCCTTCAGCAGTACAAAACATCCCAATCCAGAGGGTGTTGACATGTTTTAGCCCTGGTTGGCTTTAGGAGTGATGCAGAATTGACCCTGCAGCAAACACTACAAATTTGGCAGCTAATGTCCAGCTGCAGAAACATTATGTGGCACCTTAAAAGTGTCAGAGCCCTGGAATAGGCCAGGAGGAGAGATGGCATCAGCTGGTAATAGTGTCAGGAAACGTTTTTTTTTTTTTTTTTTTTTGGAGGTTGGATGAAACTTTAGGGTTTAGTCTGTAACTTCAGCAGCAGAGGTTTTATAGTCACTACTAATCCAAGATTGGTTCATTTTAATGAAAGTGAGTTGCTCCACACTGTCTGGGGACAAGTAGATTCATCTCTCCATAACAAAAACTTCTGCAGAACCTCTCAGAGAGCCTTCTGGCTGCAGGGCAAGCCAGCAGCTCCACCACCTATAGTGCAAACTCCAGCAAACCCAGTCACTCTGAGCTAGAAAAAGCAGATGTGACCTGTTTCTAAATAGTGCAGTTTGAGCATGGCTTTGTGCTACACAACCTGTTCGTCCACTGCTGCCTCTCATTTCAGGCCTGACTGACATTTTTCATAAAGTGAATTGCCTACATTTAGTGACAGCTATAGCAATAGGAGGAATAAATAAATGGTAGTTAGGTGAACAAGTATGCAGAGATGTGCTGCAAAAGGGCAGCAACAAGCAAACATTTTACACCCTGAAATAAAAAAAATCTCATCAAAATAAAATATACCTTCCCAGAAGGACATATCCCATGAAATGCTAAACCTCAACACATTTTTTTTTCCTAGCAGAAACTTTGAAAAATTGCTAAACGTCAAATAAAAGAAAGCAAAATAATATAACCAAAAACAATTGCAGGTGTGTGTATGTGTGTGTATATGTGTGTATATGTATGTATGTATGTGTGTATATATCTCAACAGCCAACATCATTAACAAGAACTGTAGTGATAAAGATATGCTAAAATGCTAGCAAAATAGGAGATATGACGACATCAAGAAGTTTAGAAGACAGCCCTGCGTAGGAGCTGAAAAACAGAGATTAAAATAAAGGGGAGGAAGGGAAAAGAAAAGGTGAGTAAGGATTGGACGTTTGAAATGCTTGAATTCAGTTATTGAGGTATGATTGGGTTACAGTGAAATAAAGCTATTCACTGAGTTTACCAGGTGAGCATATTGAGTCCAAATCTTAAGGAATCTTGGTCCTCCCCTTTTCTTCTTGCAGAGCCACTAACTAAAGACCTCCAAACTTTGTGTGGCTTTCAGAGTAGCACAACAAGAGTGCGTAGAGAGCTTCATGGAATGGGTTTCCATGGCCGAGCAGCTGCATCCAAGCCTTACATCACCAAGTGCAATGCAAAGCGTCAGATGCAGTGGTGTAAAGCACGCTGCCACTGGACTCTAGAGCAGTGGAGACTTGTTCTCTGGAGTAACGAATCCAGAATCTGTCTGGCAATCTGATGGACATGTCTGGGTTTGGTGGTTGCCAAGAGAACGGTACTTGCCTGACTGCATTGTGGCAAGTGTAAAGTTTGTAGGAGGGGGAATAATGATCTGGGGTTGATTTTCAGGGGTTGGACTTGGCCCCTTAGTTCCAGTGCAGGGAACTCTTAAGGTATCAGCATACCAAGACATTTTGGACAATTTCATGCTCCCAACTTTATGGGAAAATTTTGGGGATGGCCCCTTCCTATTCCAACATGACTGTGCACCAGTACACAAATCAAGGTCCATAAAGATATGGATGAGCGTATTTGGGGTGGAGGAACTTAAATGGCCTGACCTCAACCCGATAGAACATCTTTGGGATGAATTAGAGCGGAGACTGCAAGCCTTCTCATCCAACATCAGTGCCTGACCTCACAATGCGCCTCTTGAAGAACAGTCAAACATTCCCATAGACACACTCCTAAACCTTGTGGACAGCCTTCCCAGAAGAGTTGAAGCTGTTATATCTGCAAAGGGCGGGACAACTCAATATTGAACCCTACGGAGTAAGCATTAAAGTTCATGTGCATGTAAAGATAGGCGTCCCAATTTGGTGTATGCTGTATACCACGACAAGGTGAGGAACAATAATGTGAATAAATACCATATTGTATACAATGCATTCGTAAAACTGTGTATGTATTTATATATATATATATATATATATATATATATATATATATGGTCATTTTAAAATTCATAGCTGTTTAAACTGAAGCAATGTCACAATGATGCAAAAAATAACAGTTTGAAAATAGTGGCCTAATTGCATCTAATGATTCATAAAAATGGTCTTAGACGGATG